ATGACTTCGGGGAGGCAGCCTGATATTCGTGAACGAGCTACCTCACACACATATCGACAAATCGACAGGCACGCGACAGGGACAAGGAGGAAATCTGATCAGGTAAGTCGATTTCCAGGCCGATGGCTACCAGGAGACTATCCAATGCGAACGGGAAGAGATCACGGAGTCAGTACTGACCAGGCACCTGTCGTAGGAGGCCGACAGGCGCACTGATTCACCAGCCGTTGAAGGTGAAGCTGTGTTCAGTCCCACACAGGATGTGGAGCGAGCTCGGTGTAGGTGACGGAGTCCTCAGCTGCCGTAGAGGACAGCCGGCGCCGCCTCATTTGCCCTGGACCGAAGACCCGGGAACTTATCCGACTTATTGTGCCGAAACGTGATTGTCCACCGCCATAATGATGATGTGTAACTGTCGCAGGTGTGCATGGCGAATCAGTTCCATTGCACATTCTGTTCGGCTTCAGATGCTGCGTTTGATGAGCCTCACACAGTTAGCTATTCCCATGGTGTTGAATATAGGATTGACATTCCGCAGTCCCAGTTTGTTTCAAATGGTTCCAGGTAGGGCAATGCACAAAGGCATCTGGTGCTGTTCGAAGTAAATCAATTCGGAAAATGTATCGCAATTAACCGGTATTACTGCCAGCGTGTGTTTTTCCTCATTCCGATCAGCAGATAAGCGTGAAAGCTTTCAAAAAGCACCATTCGTTCATCACCGCGGAAGTGTTTTAACCGCTAGACCCTGCAATATAAAAAGGACGCAATTTTCTTCGTTGTGGGGTTTCTCCAGTCTGTTTTAAACGAATTTTTAAAATATTTTACTTGTTTTCATGCGTTCCGTCTATCGCCAGCGTGACATATTTGATTTCTTGTTGACGACACGCCCTACCCTGACAACTGCCTGACAGTCATCCGATGGCGGTGCGTACTCGAACCGGGTGCATCTGAGCACCCCGACATGCATCGAGCGTAACCCAGCTAAGAGAGTTTAAGCTCCCACATGCAGTCAAGACCATGCGTGTATCGGACCCATCCCAGTTTATCTGTCATGGGGGTCAGAGCACTACTCCCGCGCCCCTGCGTGAGACCGTGCCCTTTGGGTGGGCCAACGGCTCGATATCTATTTAAAAGCAGGTCATTGTCGCGACCCCAGCGCCGCGGGCGTTGGTTACCACAGCGCTTGTTAATCCCGGGACCGGGCGATCGTTTTCCAGTGGTTCCTAAGCATTAGTGCTACAACAAACCTCCTGCCGACAGCAGTTCTACGACATTACTTCTAACAATGCCAACGTACATCGGTGCTTTGCGACGAAACGTGTGCTTTAAAGACGTGTGCCCGCCATTACTTCTTCTACAAAAACTTTACGTTATGTGTGTCATTGCGTTTCCAGGATGTGACTGCTGCGAAGGCCTTTCCGCGGCATTGGTGCAAGATGACACCAATTGTGCTCAAAAAGCTTATAACCGTCATCACTTCCACTACAAGAGCGTTCAGTCAATACTTACACACATGATTCCTAATGCGAACACTTCAACGCGTCATTATTGCTACATGACAACGTTTGTCTATTAAAAACTTGTACCCTCATTTCTTTTACAAAATCACTTATGCATTCACTACACATGCATGTTACATAAACTGCAACGATATATGCGTGACAGCAGCACTGCACGAAACAACCTATGCCTCAAACATGTATATCCGTAATTACTTCATTCGAAAAACTTATCCATTCTTAAGGTATATGGATCTTGGTATAAGGTATAAAGTATATGGTATGCATGGTATATGATATAAATACGCACATACACACACACCACACACACACACACACACACACACACACACACACATATATATATATATATATATATATATATATATACATATATATATATATAAGGTATAAAGTATATATGCTTGGTGTAAGGTGTAAGGTATATAGTCCAGGAGCAATTTCCAGGGTTGGAGGGAAACCGAGCTGGACAAATATGCAATGAAAAGTTCGTGATACCGATGCCACACATATTCCTATAGTACGCCATGGTACTTTGTCGATTTGCTGTCGTTACGCACGGGTAAAGGTTATAGGTTTGGTAGCGGAGTCTTAATGACGGGTATAGTTTTTTAACCACACGTTTTATCGTGTAGCGCTAGACCCTTGTACAACCCACTGCAGCAGAACTGCCTCGCGTTTGAGAAAACAGGCGGCCAGGGATGTAATTTCACATTCAGTTGGCAGCCCGTTCACCAGTCACCTGGGAAAAGAAGGTGTGTGACGTTCGCGGCAAACTCCGTGTTTTATGTAGTTTGGGGCAGGTTTGACCGCTTTTCCCTGTTTAGTCCCAAGCTTGTTTTGCAACACTACGCCACTGCATTGCACTGGGTCAAGCAAGGTCAGTTTAGATTTGTGTCCAAAATGCCCCCAGGCCTCGTCATGGCACCGTCTTGTACCTAGATACCTGTTGAAAGCAAAAGGTCACTGCATTTTATTTCAGGCCAGTAATCTTTTTAACCTTTAAAGGTAAGATTACCTTAAACTGCGAGATTGCTCCCCTTTCGACATTTGAAAAGGAGTCAGGGAGTACACTGTGCGGTATGTTCTTGAATACAAATGTTGACCTGAGTTGACCTGAGGTTAATGGCCTGCTCTAACCTAAAAGTAATCCATGGAATATATCTGATGCGGTTCCTGTCATTGATTAGTTCAAAATAAACACCAGAAACTTCCTCCCACAGGAAGCTCTCGAGTAAAAAGAACGGGTTCATTCGGCCTCGGTATAACCTCCATACCCTGACCTGACCCTCGGTCAATGGAGTTTGTTTCAATTTTAAATGTAGTTGTTGTATTACCTGAGAAGTTGTCTCAGAAATACACGGCTTCGTCTAGCATTCTGTCGTTGCATCAGATTCGATGATTTCTTTGAAATAGCCTTCGCTGACAGCCACAACCTGGCTATTATCTGTCATAAGTCGGCAGCCTTACAGGGTTCATCTAATTTTTACACCAGCTAATGTGCATTATCACATCATAGACCAGCTATTCAAATGCCCACAGCTATGCAAAGCTTGGCGCGGCTGCGCCGTACCGTTCGAAAATAATTCTAGAAAACCTTTTGGGGTCATGTTGCTCCCCACCCGAGCCCGTATCAACCGCCTGTCGACGGCTGAGGTTTCTTGCGCCCGTACCATACTATACCCGCCCTTTCTTGAGCCGTACCATACGAACGTGATCTTACGCATACTTTTGGCGTTACGATCTTTCTATTTCACCAACTTTATGTAACAAATCTGAATGAATTGTTTCACAGTTGTAGATATGAAGGCAACCATAATATCATATACATATATGTATACATTCTGTGTGTGGTATAGTATATATATATACATAAATGTGTGTGTGTGTGTGTGTGTGTGTGTGTGTGTGTGTGTGTGCGTGCGTGCGTGCGTGCGTGCGTGCGTGCGTGAGTGCGTGCGTGCGTGCGTGCGTGCGTGCGTGCGTGCGTGCGTGCGTGCGTGCGTGTGTGTGTGTGTGTGTGTGTGTGTGTGTGTGTGTGTGTGTGTGTGTGTGTGTGTGTGTGTGTGTGTGTGTGTGTGTGTGTGTGTGTGTGTGTGTGTGTGTGTGTGTGTGTGTGTGTGTTTGGCAAAGAGCTAGCTTGTAACCATTGGTCGCTCTTACGTGTTAAAGACAGTTAAAGACAGCACAATTTTACTTTTAGCAAATATGTTCCTCAATACGCCATCGTTAGTTTACGTCATGAAGCGTATTCATGACGTCGAGTTGCTGCTAAACTGACCGTGCCAGAATTGCCACTGTAGTCGACGCACTCGCAGTACTTCAACCTCCCGAGAGGTGGCAACGTGATACTGAAGCGTATGCACTAACTGAATATCGTCATGGGCTCGCGCTTTGGCTCTTCCTTGTGCTGTTCCTACATTTTTTTTCATTATGTTATGCGGTATACTTACATTCACATGCTCGGTTATGACGCTATTCTTAAGTATTCAACTCCCAGCCTTATTTTCGCCATAATTCGTACCATAGCCCAACTTCCTGCATGATGAATAAAACGTGGCTCGTGTTGAACGTTGCAATGATCGCATTGCGTTGGCTGAGAGCCGTGTTCAGTCAGTTGGTGCCAGAAATCGTGCCTGCGTACACCAAACACGAATAACTTGGCAATATTTTGGCTGGCCTTGGGCGCCACGTGGACCAATGAGCTGACAGTATTCGAGTGACATCTCTGTGGAAACGCTGTAAGATGTGCACGCATGTCTAGGTGACCTTGAAATAGTCTGCACCTTATAAAAAGAGCAGGACTGAACCGCACGAAATTATTTTCAAATGGCTAGCTCAGTTCAAACTCCCAAACAAATGTGGGATACCCCCTGCAGGACACACGAACTTTTTCCCTCTAACCAATAACATGCGAAGTTTTTCCATACCAACTTTTATCCGCGCACAGTACTCGCGGCAGGTGGTCGTGAAGCCCTCGCTCCCAGTGCATGTCTAGTGGACGATTCCACCGTGAATACACCATTCAGACGAAGATTACGGTCGTCATAAGAGGCTTTCGTCGAAACGCCAGCGTTTGGGCTCCACAGCGGCAACCAGGCAGACAGGCGACTCCAGCCTGGGTAGGGTACGAGACGTCTGCTCCCCAAACGCTGGACGAGATATTGTTCAAACAGGATTGGTGGAATCGCGGAACTCACTATCAGCAGGCTTGTGATTGCCTCCGCTCCCGACTAGGTAGTGTATGACGCTGCTCCGAACCGACTCCATGCAGCGCAGCCCGGCCTCAGGTCAACCCCAATGCCGACCAACTTAAATGAGGTTGAATGCCGACATCGACTCTGAGTCGGTTCCGACAGAACCGTGTCACATAACCCTCTTGGTGGTCTCAAAAGACTGCATCGAACCTGCTTTTAACACATCAGGATACCATGTATTGTCTCATCTGCTGCACACTATACAGCTGTCGAAACCAGAATATGCGTTGTTACTTGTGTTTATTTGAGTCCAGCCGTCGATGATTTCTATCACCGAACCCTACTCACATTGATGTCCAATGAGATCAATACCGCCCTCGCTCAAGAAAAAGCAGACTGGTTCTAAAGTCGACTCCCACTTTACCCTGAGTACATGAAGCGCAAGCATAACCGCCCTTCCCCACTAGTTACGTCATGCACGCCCGCATCCATGTCTGGAGGTGTGATGAACGGACCAGGAATGCCCTCCCGGGTTCAGCCTGGCCTGGCCCATAGTCGCGCCGTCTACGTCTGGCCAAAAGCGACAGACAGTGCACAGCTCACAGACGACAAATGCTCAGAACACGCCATGGGCGCGCCACCATGCGTGTTTAGCAAGATCGAGGAGTTCTGGCGCGCCGTGATCACCCCGACAGACATGTTCTGATGTGTACCCCTGGCCGGCCGGCCGCCGTCCACTATGGATTGAGCGTGAAACTTGACACCGGTACTGCATTTATGTTGTTGACGTCGTGTTCACAGCAATCGTGCAACTCACGCCACCGCACGAGTCGATGCCGGTACAGCCAGCGGATCACGATGTCGTGCAGCAGGTGCCTCACACAGGCCGCGACTGCTCCAGCCCGGACCCGGTCCGCCACATCCTGACCGGTCGCATCACTCCGCAGTTGTCCTCTGGTCGGCCCCGCTACTCGTCAGTCATTCCCTGACCGACCCCGTCAGTCGTCAGTCGCCCTCGGACCGGCCCTGTCACCTTCCCCCCGCCCACCCCCAGGACCAGTCCTATCACTCGTCGTAGCCGATCAGCGGTACGAGGCGGTGCGGTGGCGCCTCCTCGCGGCAGACGGGGCAGCTAGGCTGGGTCTGCAACCAGTCGACGACGCAGCTCCAGCAGAAGAGGTGACCACAGGGCGTGGCAGCCGTAGCCGTGCGGCGGGACAGGCAGAGCGGACACTGCAGCCGGCGCTCCACGGGCGCCGCCGCCGGCTCGGCAGCGGCCTTCTCCGCAGCGGCGGCGGCGGCGGCCGGGGCGGCGATCCCGCGCAGCTGCAGCGCGCCAGAGACGCAGAGGTGCAGCAGCGAGATCAGGCCCAGCAGCAGGAATGTGCGCCGTGAGAGGGCGTCCCCCATCCAGGGCCGCACCAGCAGCTGCCGGATCGGGCGGGCGTCAAACATAGGCGCAACGCCAGCCAGCCAGGGCGAAACTTAGGTCCTAGACACCAACCGACAATTGACAATGGTCACCACTTCGTTTGATGACTTGTTTCATGCTTGTTACGATGAACCAGGCAGATAACGCTGAAGTCCAGCCGATTTAATGCGTCGAAACGGTGGCGATTCTATGAAATGTCCCAGGCAATACACAGGAACCGAGCCGGTCATTGCCGGCCCCACGCTAGTGGCGCCTTACGTATCGTATGCCAGTCAGCCGCTTGTCTAGGTGGTAGTAGCCGGCGCCCAGGTAGAAGAGGGTGACGTTCAGCTGGTGGAGCAGATGAAGCACAGTGGCGACGCCCGGCCGGCCGGACGGCGCCAGCTGGCAACGCTGCGCCAGGTGCTCTGTCAGCTCCGGACCAAACGTGTGCAGGCTGACCATCAGCCAGCGTCTCTGCCGGGCAGGCAAACGCCCCAGCCGTCACCGCCAGCGCTCAGAGCAGCGCCACAGACATGCCAGCGTCAGCACCCACAGCAGCTGCACAGACATGTCAGCGCCAGCACCCACAGCAGCTGCACAGACATGTCAGCGCCAGCACCCACAGCAGCTGCACAGACATGCCCAGCGCCAGCGCCCACAGCAGCTGCACAGTCATGCCAGCGTCAGGACCCACACCAGCTGCACAGACATGCCAGCGTCAGGACCCACACCAGCTGCACAGACATGCCAGCGCCAGCGCCCACAGCAGCTGCACAGTCATGCCAGCGCCAGCGCCCACAGCAGCTGCACAGACATGCCCGCGCCAGCGCCCACAGCAGCTGCACAGACATGCCAGCGTCGGCACCCACAGCAGCTGCACAGACATGCCAGCGTCAGCACCCACAGCAGCTGCACAGACACGCCCGCGCCAGCAGAGAAGCGGTTTCAAAAACGACCGCACTTCAATGACAATGTCCTTCTAAACAAAATGTATGGAATGCGTCAGGATAATCATTACCGTCAGTACACGTACTACCGTCGGTACAGGTGCTGTACCTGTGAGCAGGCTTGTGCGGTACGCTGGCCAAGCAAAAGCGCCAATTTCTGCTTCACATGACTGATCCACATTTGCATGGGGCTTTGAACCGTGCTAGCCACTTTCACCATCATTCAGTGCACTTCACAGCTATGCCTGTCTTGAGACCTAAAACCGTCTTGTTTCTGAGCTTGACGCCCGCGTTACTAGAGCTAGAATGTTCTTTTGTCACTGGAGCGGTCGTGCACTTTTTCAGTCAGTTCATGACATATCAATCCTGAAATGTTTGGCTCAAAACCCTTTGGCTTAAGTTGATCACGGCATAATCCTATCCACCACCACATCCACCACCACATGTGACCTACTGTCTCCATCCACCACCCACAGCAAAACTACATGCTCTATCTACGGTCGCCATCCCACCAGGGTCGCGGGAACTAGTGGAGGAGGAGTGGACTGGGAAACAGGGACAAAGAAGGTCTTTCCACGTGTGGAGGGGCGATGACCAACTTGGGTTATTTAAGTCCATTTAACACCCATAAGGCCGATGTTAAAATTTAACAAGGTTTGGAGCTCAGACTACCTGATCAGCTGCTGCCCCCCCCCCCCCCCCCCCAGGTCCCGTGCCGCTGCTTCGCCCAACCCACTGTCTACCTGACCCACAGTCTCTGTTCTAAGTTGCCACCACTGCTAAACAAGAGTCTCTTTCCATCCACAGTCACCACCACCACCACTGATCCATAGCCCTTATCTACAGCTGGCACCGCTGGAGCAGGACTGTGTTTAAAGACGCAGTGAAATTGTGTGGAGCAGAATCAGGGTA